GGATCAAGTCCCGAGAGTAATTAACTCGTAAGACCTGACAATCATGACATCATCATCATGCAAATGTACACGTGGCATAAAATGCTTAGAAGTTGAGAAGGTCCCCACGAACTTTAGAATTTTTAGGACAATGACGCAAAAGCGATGGAAGATCCCCACATTATCTATGGCAGTGATGGCAAAAGAGATTACACCCTTAGACCTATACCAGCCTCGTGCGCCGAAAACTCGCTTGAGAGCACTTGCGCGGAGGTCCTCACGCGATTGTCTTTGGCTGTATTTCTTTTGCCAACAATTTTTCAAACACGTGTAAGTTTCAAAGATTCATGCAAATTTGAGACGCATTTTCATAAATATGCTGTTAACAGCATGTTCAACGACAGCTTTGCATACATTCACAGTAGGAAGCTTCCGCTTTTATTGTTTGCCATCTGTTGTGATTGTCCTTCATGCACTTTGCCGTTCGTGTTTTGATAGATGCAATCTATTCTATTTGAATGTTTGCCCTTTTCCGACATGGGGTTTTCCCTGCTCTTGTTATTTGGGTTGGTTGGACTGGCGGTTGCACCACCACCTCAACGAGTCCAGGTTGAGCATCAGGCGACTCAGGGGAGACAGGTTTGCGTGAACTCTGATTCTATATGATGATGATTTTCCTAAGGTTACAGGAGCCTAGCCCGAACAATGCTCAAGCACAGCAAGGAACTCCGAATGAAACAGGACAGAAACCGGTTCGTCTACTGGTTCCACGCCTGAGTTTTTCGGTATTCATATTTCCTTTCTAGTTATATCAATTCACATACTCCAAATACCTCGAAGAAGTGGTCAAGATCCTCGAAAGTGATCCGAAATTCTCTGAGAAACTTCGAGGAATGCCAGAAGCTGACATAAAGGTTATTTTAATTCTCTTCCACTTTTTTTATCTGAATGATTGTTCTCTTCACTTGTTTTACTTCTACATTCTTCCGATTTTTTTAGTCGGGAAAAATAGCAGATCATATTGATGATCTCGATAGCCATGTATTCGACAAGCTGACTAAAGCAAAACTCGATGAGCTTGAACGACTTCGAGATCAAATCCAAAAGCAGATTGAGGTCTGTTATCCGGATATATCCTGCTTGTATCACTTCACAAGTTGTTATAGGCAGATGGCGGAGCACATAATGTCAAAATGCCAGAGCATCTCGATGCTACGAATTGGGAAAAGTTTGGAAAGGAAGATTTGAGGAAATTGATCACTCGAGTGAGTTTTTGTTTACTGGGACAGCAAATGTTACAAATAGACCCTCATGCAGCCATAGAGTACACTGCATCAGGACGAGTTGAACGTACCCGCGTATTAATTGCGAATAATATTGATCCTTTAGACAGTGCAAGATATGGAAGAAATGGACAAACAACGTCAACAAGAATTCAAGGAGTACGAAATGCGTAAGAAGGCCGAAGAAGACCATAAACTTGCTCAGATGGAAGGACAAGTATGTTCTAGCTCTCATTTCCGCTCTATACGATCTTGTGATCATGATCTGTGTTTGCAGCAACGAGCCAACGCCATGCATGAGGCTGAGGAAGCGAAAAAACGACATAACGAGCATGAAAAATTGAAACATCCGGGAAGTCGCGATCAGCTTGAAGAAGTTTGGGAAGAAACGGATCATGTACGTTTTCTGCTGATTGTTCTTTTATAGTATTTGAAAGGATGGCATTGTTGCCGTCAAGTACGTTTTGTTTTCGCCTGCTATAGTCCAATTTTTTGCGTCTTTCGAAGGTACCCTCTATTTTGCAACTTTTAAGCTGCCGGAAATAAATCATGAGACGTTAGGATTCGGACAATCAGCTTCACAACATTATCTAATAACTCAACCGCAGTTCTTCAATTTGTCATTTCCTGTAATGATTGATCAAGTGATTGCAGATGGATAAAGACAACTTCGACCCACGAACATTCTTTGCTCTTCATGATTTGAATGGTGATGGGTACTGGAACGCTGATGAGTTGGAAGCCCTGTTCCAGAAGGAGCTCGAAAAACTCTACAACGAAACCGATCCCGATGATGATCCTCGTGAACGGTTTGTCAGTAGAGTTGCATTTTATATATAGTTAACACTTTGTTGCTCTTTAGGATGGAAGAAATGTATCGAATGCGAGAGCATGTGACGAAGCAGATGGATAAAAATGGAGACCGTCTAATTTCACTTGAGGAATTTCTCAAGGTGATCTAAGTTACCCACTGGGTTCTTTCAGATTAACGATGTTGTATGTGCTTACAGGATACTGAGGCACAAACCCCTAATGATGATCCCGGTTGGAAGGACCTTGGTGACCAGCAGGTGAACTTTTAATATTTTTATCTTGCCGCCTACATCATACAACAAAATTTTAAGGTTTACACCGACGAGGAACTGCAGCAATTCGAGAAGGAATATGCGCAGAAACAAGGTTAGGCAATGCATCTCTCTTTTTTCCCATTTCCTCTCACTTTTGGGCGACTGGTGTTTTCCTTTTTTGGGTTAAAGGGCTGATTGTTTTTGTCTCTTGTATCAAATACCTATGATATGATCCTCTTATCTTCTTCAGTCGACTTGCGTTAGTAAAATCTCTTGGGCGAAGGGAAAGACGTAAGCATCCATTTTTTTGTTTCGACTTATTGCCTAGGATGGGGAGAACATGCCTATGAAATAACCACTACAGCACTTCCACCCGTACAAGCACAACAATTCCACCAGCAGCAACCACAGCAAGTGAATCCGCAACAGGTAATACTATTTGCTCAGTTTTTTAAAAATACTTTTCTGCGCAATGACCGGTATTGCAGCCCATATACGAGCTCTTTTTCTATTGTAAAAGCCTTTTTCTGCATTGTTGCTCACCGGCTCTTCTACTAGTGATTTTACTGCAAAAACAATTTCGTTTCTCTATTTTGAATATCAAGTTATATCACAATATATTGTTTTAGATTACAGTCTTTCTTTTTAATTTTTGCCGTTATAATAGAACTTGATATTTGGCGTCATTGAAGTATAGATTGCTTTTTTTTCTTTCAAAGTAGGTTTTGATATCCAGGGTCAAATACCTCAGCAGCCACCGCAGTATCAACAACAGCAGCAGCAACAACAACAACAATATCAACAGCAGCAGGTCCCACAACAGCAGCAGGTACCACAGCAGCAGGTTCCACAACAACAGGTCCCGCAGCAGCAACAACAACAGGTTCCACAGCAGCAACAGGTATTACACATGTTTAGCTACTTTTTTGTATTGCTATCTATGCTATCGAGTACGGTAGCGAATTTATTTGTTTCATTGAGAAAAATTTGTGCATAGGCTAGGGAAAGGAAGCAAAACTTGACACAGGCAAGATTTCTTTATAATTATCATTGTTTTACCGTTAGCTTAACTTGAAGCTGAATTTTTGAGGAATAACTTGAGGAATTGTGGATTTGTTCTTGCAGGTAACCTTGTTTATTTTAGTAAGTAATATTAATATCCGATAAGGTGCAACTTCCTGAAAGTGCTACCTTCTGAAAACTAGTTTGGTTATTTTTTCGGGTCATTTCCTACGTTTGGGGACTGATTTTTTCGCAGATCGGGAGAGATTTTAGAGCTCAACAGATTTGAATCTGTTCTATGTGTTCAAGTCAGCTTTGAATCCGCTGTTTCTGTTCTTTCTGTTCTTATCAGACTTATTAATATATTGGGTAATTTGATATGAATTCTCTTTCACATTGCTTTGCTTCTGTACTTCCCATTTATTTCCTTTGCGGTAGAAAATCCACTTCTAGGTTCCCATTCGACATGAACCCATAGTTGAGAAACCAAAGGATCCAACCTATGGAATCTAAATTATCGCGGCAATGGACTTACGAGTTTATGTTTGTCTTCCGATTCTAAATGGTCTGATACTTAATTTATTTGATAGTATTCTATACTAGTTTGCATTTTCGTCAGCAGTTACGGATACGTTGCATGAATTGTAAATTCGTTTCGTTAATCCTTTGTTGCTTTTTGTTCTTTTCTTCCATGGGAATCTGTTTTCTGTTTCTAGATGTCTGTACATGAGATGCTTTCTGGATTGCCATATATAT